TTGCCAGCTAGCTGGGCATCCCATGGCCCAGCCAAGTTGACCGATATAATTAACCATCACATATGCCAGCGTTGCCAAAGCCATGGGGAGATGAGAAGTCTCACGCACTGCTAGTGAAACTAGACACTGGTACAAAGCTGTCTCCAATGCAGCTCCTGTTATTTAGCATCATCTGCATGCTGAAGCCTCTTTACTAAATGGTGAAAATTCTGGATATAGTTGACGAAGAAATGCAGACTGAGATCCATAAGAGGTCATGGAACCAGATGTTCATCCACATGTTTCTTGTGGCAGAGGTGACTCAGGTACCCTTCACTGGAAGACAAGAAAGGGCCAGAGAGAAGGTACAGTGGATAAAGATGCTTGCCACCAGGCCTGGCTACTGAAGTTTGAGACTGGGACATACACAGTACAAGGAAAGAACCAACTACTGAAAGTTTTCTCCTGACTTCCACAAGTGTGTGGTGGCATGGATGCTTGTGTGTGTACACATACACATACATACAAACACTAATAGTAATAAGCTTAAGTTGTATGCTTTTTTTTTTTTTTTTTTTCTTTTTCGAGACAGGGTTTCTCTGTGTAGCTTTGCGCCTTTCCTGGAACTCGCTTTGGAGACCAGGCTGGCCTCGAACTCACAGAGATCCGCCTGCCTCTGCCTCCCGAGTGCTGGGATTAAAGGCGTGCACCACCACCGCCCGGCAAGTTGTATGCTTTTAAAAAAAAAAAAAAAAGACAAGAGGGAGCTGGAGAGATTGCTCAGTGGTTCAGAGCTCTTATTGCTCTTCCAGAGGACCCTGGTTCAGTTCCCAGCATCCACATCAGATAGCTCACAGCCACCTGTCCCTCCAGCTGCAGGGGATCAAATGCTTTCTGGTCTCAGCAGGCACCTACATGTATATGGTGCACATAGACTTAAGCATGCATACACAAAGATAAAAATAAGTAAATTTAAAAACTATTGTTTTAAAGATAGGAAAAATAAAATGTAGTAACATTTCTTATGTGTGTTGAATTAAAAAAAACTTGGGAAACAACAAAAAATGCAACAATAGATTTATATATTAAAACATGTAGGTGTAAAATAAATGATTTATTTTACAATCCCACTTTCACATATACATATATCAAACACGTTAAACAGGGCTGTTCAGAAGCATGTGCAGAGGTACAGATCTGTAATCTAGCACTCAGGAGATGGATGCAGGAGGATCAGGAGTTCAATGCCAGTCTTGGCTACATAGCAAGTTAGTGCCAAAAATAAAATAAAATCCTTGCTAGGGCTGCTATCAAGGATTCAGGAAGTGGTAAGAAAATTAATATATGCAGTATATAACACAATATATAGTATACATAATAATATAATATGTAAAATAAATAAGAGAGAAATGTTGCCCAGCTGGTAGTGACATTTTGCCTTAAACGGACAAGTGTGTTTAATTCAGCTCTCCCCACTCAAGAGTTCCGTGCTTAAAAGACTGTGTCTGTGTATTAGATGTATATGTGTCTAAAATGTGTTAAAGTATCTAAAAAAGTATAGACTAAAATACTATTGGTGGTTATTATGGCTACGGATGGGAATAAAGGTGAGTCTTTGCTATGCTGAATAAATACTATGTAATAAGTCAAATACTTCCTGCTGTTTAAATAAACGTATAATAGTCTACTAAAATCAGCTGCCTGTGTGGCCACAGTCATTTTATTGTTTTTCCAGAATGTTTCAAAATAGCTCTGGAACAAGACCAGTGGGACCACCAGATATCTATCTAGCCTCACCCTTCTTCCCATGCAAATGAAGATGAAGCTTCCAATCCAGCTTTGGCAAAACTCTCCCTGGAACTCAGGATAACAAGGCCTCCTGCTCTTGTGCTGGGGAAAGGAGGGGCGGCCTGTGTTGCTCCCTCAGAGTCAGGCTCAGAACCTCCTCTCAAAAGCTGCCTTGAATAGCAGATGCCTAAACAAAAGGTCCACCTCAAGGGTGGAAACGTTATTTCCAGTTTTGTAGACACAGGTGTTCTTCCAGGCCACTGGAGAAGTACAGTGCAGGACTGTGCACAGCCAGGAATAGTTCAGCAGGCCCTTCTCTCAGAAGCCAGCTCTGGAGGCCATTCAGTGTATGTTCTAACTATATTTGGCAATGCAAACCGAAGAGGTCAGTGGCTTAGCTCAGGATGAGAAAAGCCTATTCCTGATTTATAATCCCCGCTTCAGACTAAGACCAAGAATTAAACCCCCACTTCATTTCTTTCTTTTGTATGTATTGAGCTCACTGCTGAAGTGACTCTCCTTTCCCATCCTACTGGCCCTGGTGGAAAGCTCTGAGAACCACAGGTGTAAACCACCTACCCAAGCCGTCTGTGGAGTTAGAGGACTTTGGGGGACATCAGGCCTGAGAATCTAAAGGTTAAAATGATCTCATTCTACTTAGGTTTTCGTGGCATCAAAACAGCCTGGCAGCACTCGGGTACAGATCCAGGCTCCCCCCACCGACCACTCACTGTGCCGCCTCGCCTGGGTTGCTGTGTGTCTCTGAGGTTTAGTCGCCTTATCTACAAATAGAGATAAGAACACCTACCTCACGAAGCCACTGTAAGAACTCGGTGAGATAAAGCATAGAAAGTGGCTGGGAGAATGTCTGACACAGAGTGAGGGCTAAAAAAAGAATTGGTTTCCATCCCACCCCGAGCCTCCTTTCCACCCTTAGCTGTTTAGACAACCTGTGGGTGCTGAATTTTCAAGAAATTGTCTGGTAGCCTTGGTTGATTACAAATGGATGATACCATTTCCACAGCCAGCAACAGTAGCTCCAGATAAAAACTGTGACTACTTCTCAGCTGTGGACAGGTTCAAGTCGGCTCACAAATGACTCAACGCTGTTGATAAATGATGTGTTCTTGGCATCAGGAGGCCCTATCCCGATAACCTTCAACACCTTATGGAAAAAAAAAAAAAATGGAGAGGGCTAGTTGACCAGCTCCCAGAGAAAGCCCCAAAGCGTCGTGGTGACCTTTAGTTAATCCCAAATGCTGTACCAGGCTGGTCATAAAGAGGGTCTCTGTTTGCTCAGAAATGTCTCAAGTCACAGGTTTAGCCATGGGAAAGACTCCAGTTGAGCAGCTGTCTGCTCGCTCTCAGGGCTGAACCACCGTAGTTACACTTGCCTTAAATTCCCTGAGTCATAAGACTCCCTCCAACCAAGGCTAGATGCCTGCCTGTTCCCTGCTCCCAGCTGCCCCTAAGCCGGTGCCCAACCTGTCTTTGGCAGCTTTGTCTGGTAGATTGAAGTTCTGCCAGAGTGAGGTTTTGGCTGGAGGACTCTGTGGCTGCGGGACAAGCCTTGGCTCAAAGAAAGAAAATGAATGGATGTCTTGAGCCACTGTCTATGAGGCCAAAGAGGTCTCTGCTCTTAGCGGTTTCCGTAGCCTCTGCAGACCACCCTGAACCCACTGGCGCAGAAACCCGCAGGGTTGGAGCATCTAGCCCTTTCCTCATTCGTACATGCCCTGTGCCGCTTCAGTGCCTGGCACAGGTCCAAGCCAATACTTAGCAAGAAGTCCCTAGGGTCAGGATGGTCTGTTGCTGACCTTGGTGCCGGGAGTCTCACGAAATTGTTAAGATCAAATAGGACACGGAACTAGATGGGACTGATACTGCCGACAGCCAGGTGCCAGCAATTGAGGCTTTGTGGGGGAGTTCTACGTGCTATTGGCTGCTTTTTTTTTTTTTTTTTTTTCATGAAGCAGGAGCTGCCCCTAAATCAGGTTGTGTCTGGATTCAGACTCAGGACCAGTGCTTTTCATTGTGTATATTTCCTTCTGCAAGGAAAAAAACATCCAGCCCCATAGCTGGGGCCCTGTAATGCCATCCTCAAACACTTCCATCCTCCAAACACTTTCCAGAGATCCTAAACCAGCTAGAGGTACAGGCATTTCAACCTGTCCAAATGGCCAGCAAAAGTTTCATTGATCCTCAGGGACTGGCTGAGCAATCGGCCCGCGCCTCTTAAGTAGGCAGGTATATGGCACCACCTTAACCTCCCTTTCTAGTAGTCCTTATGCTGAGTCTTCAAGCTTTGGATCCAGCACGCCTCACAGGATCCGGAGGTGACAGAAAGCAAGGAGGAAGGAAAGAGGGAGAGAAGGACAGAGAGAAGTGGAAGGAGCGTGAAAAAGGCTTGGGAAAGAGGAAGGAAGAGGAGAGCTGGAAGGGGAGGCGGAACAATGAAGGTTTCAGGCCCTCTGAGGCGCACGGTTCCGGCTGCACGTCCGTCCCGGCCGCCTCCGGCCAGCAGCTGCTCACTGCACAGCGTGTGGGCGCTGAGTCACTGTCCCAGCACAGGGAGCCCGCGTGCAGGTCGGGGGGAGCCCGGTTGGCATCTGCAAACTGCTTTTTTTTTTTTCTCCTTTCCTCTCTCATTAAGGCTGTGTGCTGACTCCCACGTAGGAGAACTTATTAAACCGCACGTACTACTCCACCGCTCTTGGGGACCACGCATGATGACCAGCAGGGAGCGCCACAGCCCCACTTATGGATGCTACGGTAGTGACGCTTTGGGGCTGGCTATTAGCCGAGGGTTTCCCAGAGACTCGTGAAGATTTTGCAGGAGTAAGCTTTTAACTTTAAGTCCCACAGCTACAGCATAAACTCTCTACTTAGAAAACCTTGAAGATGACCATAAGTCTCCAAACAGCGCCTTAGCGCAGGTTCTGTGAACAACCCCATAAAATTGGGAGTGTGTTGCGCAACCAAGGCTCGCCTAACTACTAGGGCTCATCCTACCCAACCCGGTCTGGCCGCCACTCGAGGCGATGAACTCGGGTATCTCCGAGAAATCTTGACTCCCACCCAGGACACGCGCTCTGGGCACCCACATGGACAACAGAGCTCGTGACAGATAAGCCCGTGCATACAGAGATCCCCAAAACAAGAAACAAGATCCCAACACTCCCAACGATCCAAACCAAGACCATCTTTCTCTAGATGCATGAAACGAGAATGAATCAGCATTGAGACAGTTTATTATTGGTTTGCTTTTTCCCAGATCACATATTTTATGTAAATAGATTATACGGAGACACAATGTTTTTTCTTCCACAGGCGGTAATCAGGCGCTCTCCACCACACACACACACATACACAGAACCAAACAACCTTACACCTCGCTGAGACATTCATGTCTTAAAATAGGGGAAGGTGACAATATAATCGCTTTAAAATGCCCTTAATACAATATATACGTACAAAAATATCTCTATATATTTGAAGTTACAAAAAAAAAACCTCTTGACAGCAACAAACTTAAATATGATAGTTACCTTTGGCTGTACAACAAGCATTGCACTTTTCCTCGCTAGGTTTTGGAAAGTTCAAGTAGTAATGAGGCTTATGCCCCGTGAGAGACCAGTTTATGAGCGGGCAAGGCAGTGGCTCAGACCCCTGCCCGGAGGGTGATGCCTGTAATTCTCAGTTTCTGTCGTGAGCCTGGCTTGATTCGGTTCCTCTGCCTCCCCTAGGGGCAGCCAGGCAGATCTCTGTAGGATTGTCTCAGTTCGCCCTGGGTGCGAAGCTCTCTGATTCCGCAGGCGCCAATGGGACACTCGCCCGACTGTTCAATGCTGCCACCGGCACCTAAATCCTAAAGAGCCTGGAGATGATTCGGTTGCGCCTGGGAGGCTGGGGCTGCGTGTGCCTGCTCCTGGGAGGACACCACAGTCCGGATCCGGAGGACCTCTGGTAGGGAACGCCGGCGCCGGCGGCCATAGCCTTGAGAGCTGATCTTGTTCCGGGGGGCGACGCTATCCTTGTCTTTGTCTGTGAACTGGTAGATCTGATGGGCCAATTTCTGCACTGTGCAGGTCCCAAAGCGGCATCCAGCGCTGCGGGAGCCCTGGTTCATGCTCTGGCGGTAGCGTTTGACTCGAATGTGGGCTACGCTCTGAGTGCTGCGGAGAAGGAAGGATACGTGAGACCTCATCAACCAGGGCTTTGACCCCAACCACCTGGGACCAGAGCCATGCAGAACCTAAGGGACCTGGAACCTGCTCTCTCCACCGGAGCTGCAGTCCAGCCCGGACCATTCCCGGGGCCAGAGCAGTGGAGAGGGCACATCCTCTGCAGAGGGTATAGTTACCTGGCTTGTGGGGGGCTAGTTGTGCTCTGCTTGTCCTGGAGCTGAACAAGAGTCTGGGTAGGGACTGTCTTCTCATCAGCGAGCCCCGTGGGGTAACTGCTGGATGCTTGCAGTTCTCTCTTCCCATGACTTAGCGCCCACTTATTCCACCTAAAAAATGCAAGCAGATGCGTTTGGCTTGTGTTCAAGAGGTGTCCCAGCCAGCTCCCGTATCCACTCCCTTCTAACCCCTCTGGACCATCCGTCAGTTTTCCCTTACTGCCAGGTATTAGGACTGAAGAAAGTACTGCCCCAAACTCACTTCTTTCGGAATTGCGAGGACGCGTCTAGCCGCGCGGTGTCTGCGCCAAGGAAGGCGAGTGAACCCAGGAACATCAGTGTGACGGTAACCAGCTTCATTCTGTGGCGACCCTCAGATACCCTGGAAAGAAGAAGCAAGGAGCCTAGTGTGAGCAACCAGGCTAGCTGCACAGTCCTGGTGAGGCGGGGAATTGGCGGCGCCCTGTTTGGCCCAGTAGCTTATCTCCCCCTGGCACTGAGAGGCGCCGGAGGCTTTTGCACTGGCCGGGTGGGTGACAAGCAAAGCAAAGGAAGCCCCTGCACAGCGCCAGGCTTCCAGAGGTTTCCATCTCAACTGCCAGGATGATGGCCCAATGAGGAAAGATCTCAGGAGAGCTCCTACTGTGCGCGTGAGCTAGACCTGGGGTATGAGGTGTACTCTACAGTGGATACCCCAAAGTGGTTTGTCCCCCTTGTCCAGCGCTACAGTGTTTTGGCCTTCCGCAAAGCCGTCCCCCCTCCTCAACACGCTGGAGCGTGTCCTTACCTGCTGAAGGGGTGATTTTTCAAGCACTTGAAGGAGAAAGTCCGAGACGTCCTTCTGACAGCGGCAAAACCCCAAAGTCCGAGATTGACTGCGATGAGAAGCCAGGAGCGGTAACGCTGGAGCTGTTGTGCCTAGTGTCACCAAGAAACTACTGAACAGCCAGCGCTGGCTCCAGCGCTTTATACACGCTCCGGCTCGGGGGGGCGGGGCCTGCTCTGCCCTGGAGCCCTCCCTTTCCTCCAGAGCGCTTGCTTCTAAGATCTGATCTGCCCCGCAGCTTGCCTTTGGGTATGGGGGCAGGGGTAGAGGTCCTTTGTGGCCCGGGGTCTCAGAGATCGGCTCTGGGAGATTAGACTGGTGCGGAACTTCCTTTGCCCTGATTTCCTGGCGTAGGGTTCAGACAGTGAGACGGGAAGGAGGGCCAGAACAGCTTGGGGTGAGGGGGGATCCTTTTCCCAGAACCTCTACAGCTCAGAATGCTGATCTGAGCTTTCTGGACAGGGCTGTAAGAACCGGGGGACGGGTGGGACACATGTCTAACCTAAACCCTGGACTTTGGGAGCTGTGTCCTCAAATGGGCCGCGCCCCCTGCCGGCTTAGCACCTGACTGAGCCTCGACCCCCCTCCGCCTCTGCGGGCAGGGTACCCCAGGAAGGGTGAGGCTCAGACTCCCTGACAGAGGCTGAGACTGAAGGGTTTCTAGACCGGCTAGCTAGTAAGATTTCGTAATCAGGGCAAAGCTGGGAACAGCTGAATTGAAAATTGGGGTTTGGAGAGGGTAGTTAACTGAAGATTCAGAACTCACATTCCAATTTGGAAATACAGGAATAGCCAAAATTAGGAAAAAGGTTTTGTTTTCCTCCTTGTAATACTATTATGCCTTATAAGGTTATAACCTGCGAGTTGACCTGATTGCCTTCATTCATCCATTGTAAACGTGAGGAGTGACTGACAGGGAGCACACTAATGCTTCACGTATGTTAATCGCTTTACCGTTGGCAAATCCCAGCCTCTTTTGATCTTTGCACACATTCCTGAGCTGGGATTCTCGTATATTAAAGTGAAATTCAGAGAAGGGGCGTATATTGCCCAGTCACACTAAAGTTGGGAAGCTGTAGAGTCCGAACTCAAAAGACTGGGGTGCTGTGGCCTGAATTCTTCGAGCTGGGGGGGAGGGGTCACCATTCTCGCCAAGGGGGAGAGAATTCCGGCCCCAGCCCAGAGATATGTGCTAATTCATGATGAATCAGTTCGAACACGTTCGGCTCTTCACAGATTGTTAAGTTCACTTCCCTTCTAGGGCCAAACTGAGCACCAAGGCGCAGCTCCGCATGCAGGTCTCCTGTGTCACTACCTATCACCTTCCTGGAAGGTCCCAAAGCTAAAGACATTACCTACCCCAGCTCCTAGTCCTCAGTTCTGGGGATTTGGACACAGACAAGTCATGTCCTCTTCCTAGAGTCCCTGGCAGATCTCCAAGCTTTCTACCTCATCTGCCATTAAATGTTCTGAGACCCAGCGCAAAGCCGGCTGGGCATTGTGTCCCGCGGACCTTGCCCACATCGAGGTCTGGGCTGAGCGTTGCTGGCTCCAGATTGAACAGCGGACATTGCACCTGGGAGAGAAATGGCCGCACTGAGGTTACTTATTCTGGGGAATCTTCTTAGAGCAGGAGTTCTGAGTTCCACCTGGGGCGGGGGACAGATTCCAGGCACTGGTTCTGATAGGGACTTGGGGCATGAATGTTGAAAGGGCTACAGCTAGGCGAACTGGCCGCTTTCGGGCCTTCTGGGCTGCGGGACAGTCACCGCAGCCCCAGCCAGACGCTGGTGTGTCTGCCCCACCGATCTCAGGTAGCGCACAGTGCTGCGGGGGTCCCAGGAACCCCAGAACACCATAGTTTTTTCTCCGCTTCTGTCCCTTTCCCCTGCCCCCCTTTCACTTCATCCCCGTATTGTCTGTCGACCCAGCGGCTGTCAGTCTCTCTGAGGACGCGACCTACCTGTCGCCAACTTCCCGCTGGGCCGGGGCCACATCAGGTTTTACTTTCATTTCCCTGGCCGGCGTCTTGGTCTGCCCAGGAGGTCAAGGACAGCCGGGCGTTGGCCCACAGCCAGGGCAAGTCTCGTGGAGCTGGACTCCTTCTCTCCAGTCCCTACCAGCCTTGAGGGGGGCTGTCTGCAGAGAATCCTGCCTGGCTGAAACTCATTGTCTCCTCGCTTCGTATTTGAAGAAAGTCCATGACCCGAGGTTAGCGCTGACTTGGGACATGATCGCCAAGTATGCTCTTAGCAGAAGTTTGTTGTTATTTGAATAGGTTCCCCAGTAGTCCAGGTTGGCCTGGCAAACTAAGTAGCCAAAGATGACCTTGAACTTCTGATCTTTCTGCTCCAGTTCTTATCACTGAGCTACACCCCTCCCCCCTCCCCCCCCCCACACCTACCCACACACTCACACTTCTTTTTGAGCCGCAGGTGGCAAACCCAAGGGTGAAAGGAGGGATTCCGTGGCTTGGCTCCACCAGAGCTTCTGTGTCTGCGCCAGTATGTTGGCGCTGTGCCAAGAATCCCCACCTGAGTGCCTTGGCACGCGCCTTATCAGCCTGGGTGCTCTTCGCCGCGCTGGCACTTAAGAGATTGTCGCCTGAGAACCAAGCCAATTCTTTTTTTAGGCGAGGTCCCAGACTGGCAACTCAGAGGATTTTGTTAGAAAATCTTAGAAAGCGTCTGTATGGTTGTGGTTTGCGTGGGTGGGCAGCCTCTGTCAACGCACTCCCCAAAGTGCTAAAGGTTCTAAGTGGGAAGTAGATGAGGAATTCACCACGTCTGGGTATCTACTTTTTCCTTCCCTTCTCGTGAAAATGAGTTGCCTTACTTAATTACAAGTACAGGGGGAAAAAGAAATCACTAGAATGCATTTTGGGTTCAAGGTCTAGAAAAGTAAGGCAGCAGGGGTCCTTGTGGCCTTATGTTCACAGAATTGCATCCATTCAAGTGCAATGATTGTAAATTCGTATTGAGCAAGGAAGGAAGGAGGGAAGGAAGTGAGGGAAGAAACATGTTTAAAATCTTCCTGGTAAGAAAACAGAAAGAAAAAATAATCCTGGTTAAAGAAGATCCACTTCGTGTGTGTGTGCCCTTGCTCGCTCGTGCCCTAGAATTCTTAAGTTGTGTTGATTTGTACACTCTGTCACCATACAGATAAATATACATATGCACATATACTCTAGAATATATATAATATACATACACTCTAAAAGCTTGCTGAATAATGGTGTTTCAATGTCTTCCTCACATTCCAACTGAATTATTTTTAGGCCCTAAATCCGAACCTAATTCTTAGCAATGTTTGGAGGTTTTGTTTGTTTGTTTTGAACGTGTGGTTTTGTTTCTTAGTTAACAGTGGGTACACAGTCCCTAACACTAGGGTCATCGTACTCAGGTCTTTATAAAAGTAATGAGAAATAATAAATAGTACTAATGATGTTAGTAACTAAAATGGGAGCAACTGTGTGCTTTGTATGATGATCTCAGATGCCGCTTTTCAGACAGGAAATTTTATGATGCACTTTTATTCACAAGGCACAAAATGCCTGTTAGCTTAGGGCTTGTTTACAACATTCTCTTGAAAACAAGGTTCAAGATGCATCCTGAAGTCATAACATCAAGTGGTTTACAGAGAGGACACAACCAGCTTTTTGGATTTGGTCTCCTGGGGGTAAATAAGGCAGGATGCAAAGCTCAGAGCATCTTCCGGGGTTCTGCCTTCTCACAAGAGCTAATGAAAATAGAGATTCTTCCCAGAAAATGAACATGCACATAAAACCAGCTAAGTATAAGACAGGAGATGGACCAGGTTTAAAAACTCTGGGACCAAATAAATAGCACTGTTACTGTATCTGTGATTTCTATCTTGTTTGGAACGGCAGAGAAAGGAAGACCATTAACCTCTGGCTTTAAGGCTGAGTGCATGTGCATAAAGAAAAGATGCTTTTGCTTCTTCTTCTCCTCCTCCTCCTCTTCCTCCTCCTTCTCCTCTTCCTCTTCCTCCTCCTCCTCCTCCTCCTCCTCCTCCTCCTCCTCCTCCTCCTCCTCTACCTTCCATATGTGAAACACTTGTTCTACTACACAGCTGCGTTCCTAGCTTCTGTACAAAACAGGCAGACACAGATAGTCTTTGCACATGTTGGAGCCCAATGGTAAACCTCACCAAAGCTTAAAGAAAGTAACTTGTTCTGGGATAAATGAAAGGGGACTCAGAGAAGGCAACAGGCACAGGGAAGGCTGTTCTACTGACAGCAGTACTTGGGAAAATTAGAAGGTGTGGACTTGTTGAAGGAGGTGTGTCACTGAGGGTAGGCTTCAAGGTTTTAAAAGCCCACACCATTCCCAGTTAGCTCTCTGCTTCATGCTTGTAGACCAGGATGCAACTGGTCCACAACTCTCAGCTACTGCTCTAGTGCCATACCTGCTTGTCTGTCTGCCTGCTTGCCTGTCTGCCTGCTTGCCTGCTGCCATGGTCCCCACTAATTGTGAACTCACCCTCTGAAACTAAACTCTAGGTACCTAATCAACTGTTTTTTTTTCTATAAGTTGCCTAGGTCATGATAATGTAGCATAGAGATAGAAAAGTAACTAAGAAAATAGGTTTGAAAATAGGAGAGAAAAGATTTGATGCACACTTATCTCAAAGATCCTTTTGTCCCGTCAAATTAGTAAGATTTCAGAATTTAAAAAACCCACATTTTCCATACAAAAATCTAAAAGATAGTTTTGAGTGTTGGGCATGATGGTACACTCCTGTAACTCTGGCACTCAGGAGGTTGGGGCAGGAGGATTGTGAGCTTTGCTATATAGTGATATTACCTCAACAGCAACCATGACAAAACAATAACTCAAGATTCTTCTGAGGTAGGGAGGGGTAGCTCAGTGATAAAAACACATGCTTAGCAGGCACAAAGTTCTGGGTCCCATTGTCAGCTCCAAAATAACAACGAAAGAAGAATATCATCTCAACTAATGACTGTGGTAGATGGGTTTGAAGAGCAGCAAGGGAAGAAGCATGGTGGTAGCACCCAGGGTAGGTTAGGGTGCACACGATCTCATCACCATCTGAACTCTGCCCCCACTCCAGTGTGCACGAACACACTTCACCAACACAGCCAGCCTTGTGGAAATGCACCCTGTTCAGGTGCATGGGACCTGCACTCAGAAGAGCCTGCATTTGCTTTAATGCTCTGCTGAAGCTCTTTTGCAGTTCTTAACTTTTGAATAGGGGTCCTTCACTTTCATTTTGCACTGGACTCTGCAAATTATGTAGCCAAGGCCTGTTCACCAAACATGCAATCTAACTAAAAGCAGCCTATAAAACCTCACAGTACCTATTTATACTGTAGTCGCTGCAGTCATGGGTACTTCAAATGAATGTGGAGATTCAATGGTCTAGGACACATTTCATCAGCCATCTCTGTAAGTTCTCTTCCCTGCAGCCCAAACATAGTTCAAAGTGAAAATAGTGTACTTGATACACACACTTAATTTTAAGACCAGGTCATTGGCCTGCTTTTTGTCTTTAGGTTATATATATATAAATATGAACTGGGAATGTAGCTCAAGTTGCCTTGCATACTTGAAACCTTGAGTTTGGTACACACCTGTAATCCCAACAAGGAGGTTGAGTCAGGAGGATCAGAAGTTCTTTGAGTGCTTGGACAGTTTGAGGCTAGCCTGGTACACATGAAACCTGATCTCAAAAAAATGTTTTACATATATAGAACCATATTTAACACACACGGAACCAATGAACAAGGAAACAGGTAAGGAAGGTATTAGAACTGCCAAGATGGGAGGTGACTCGATGTCAGGGTGAAGTGGATATGTGGGAAGTAGGAGCAACAGGACTGAATGACGAATGTGGGGCTGAGAGAAAGACCAGCATCACGGGGAGCAGCCATTAAGGTTCTCACTTAGGCAACTGAGTGGTTAGAGATGTGGCAATGGATCAGGGAATTTTCCACCACAGCTCTCAGTCTCCTTTGTTATGGGTTGGTAGATGCAATTTGAAGGCCCCCCTCCCACCCTCCTTTGGTCTTGCCTGCAGGCCATATGGTCAAATCTGACTTTCATACTGCCTCCCTGAACTGTAGTGGCTAACCACAGGAAGCACTTGAAATGACTGTACAGTTAAACCACTTACCCCACCACAGCCCACTGGAGGAGGACCAGGGTGAGAGATCCTCCTCACTAGTCATCAGCTCCATTTTGTCTTCTAAGGCAAGAAAGGCTGTCATCTCTCTTGTGTATGCTTCATCACTGGGCTGTACAGCCTTCTTCCCCTGCAGCTCCCAGTCTTCAGCAAAACAAATCTGGACTTGCTTTGTTCTCTCCTCGTTGGTGGAAGATGATGGTACTAATCTTAGGGGATGGGATGGCCTTCAGCCAACCTCTGCAATCAGGCTGCCTTGTCCGGGCTTATCGGTTTCAGCAGCCAGGCAGTTGTTGGGTGAGAAAGCAAAGTACAGCTTCAGTGGATGCTAATGTGTTCATGTGTAGATTGGAACACACAGTATCTTTAGACATTTACCTGAGGACAAGTGAAAGCCTCTTTTACAAAAGAGCCATTTAAACGTCCAGTAGTCTACCTAAGACCCTAATAGAGTAAATACAACTGGGAAGGTAGTGCTTGATTCTAGGTTTGCTAAAGTCAAATAAATGAATAAGTAAATAAATAAATAAAATAAACTTGCAGGGTGGGAATGTAGCTTTAGTAGAAAGAATAGTGATTACCCTGGGTTTCATTCCTAGCATCAGAAGAAAAATACCAATACTTGCAAATAGAATTTAAATAATATGTATTTAAAAAGTAAATGGGGGCTAGAGAGTTGGCTCAGTGGTTAAAAGAACTTGATTCTCATCCAAGGAACTAAGTTCAGTTCCCAGCATCCAAGCTGGGGTAGCTCATAATGGGTAGCTCACAATTGCCTGTAACTCCAGTTCCAGGGGCTCTGACATCCTTTTCTGGTTTTCACAGGCACACACAGACACATACACACACACACACACACACACACACACACACACACACACACACACAGAATAAACATAGATCTAAAAAAAAAGGTAAAACGAGAACCCTACCACTACAAAGTCAACTAAAAATGGATCAAAGGCCCAAATACAAGAGCTGTAATTATGCATTGCTTACATAGAAGTAGATCTTCATGATCTTAAATTCAATAATAGATTCTTAGATATGACACAAAAATCACAGAAAACCAACAAATATTTGGATTTATCAAAGTTAAACACTGGTGAGCCAAATGACAAGATCAAGAAAATGACATGACAGTCTACAGAATATCTGCAGAGTTTATATGTGATAGCGATCTAGCTCTCTGAGTATACAAACACAACGGAGACAAACAGGGCTGGGCTTGGGGTAGGGCTCAATAGAACACAGCTTGCTTAGCATGGGGGAAGCCAAGGGTTAGCTCCTAGCAGGGTGGGGGGAGGGTGTGGTTGGCAAAGAACGTGTATAGACATTTCTCTGAAGAAGATTTAGAAATGGCCGACGTACATAAGAAAAGATGCTCAACATCATGAGTCACTAAAGAAATATAAATCAAGAGCACAGTAAGACATTCATTTAGCTAGGCCTGGTGGTTAATTCCATGTTGTTAATCCCTGTGTGTGTGTGTGGGGGGGGCAGTAAAGTAGGAGGATCCAGAGGTCAAGGGTAAACTAGGTTACAGATTAGTGAGGTCTCTAGTGAGACTGTGTCTTAAGAGCAACAACAAAGATTAATAATTTATACCTATTAGGCCAGGCTGTGGTGGCCCGTTCCTTTAATACCAGCACTAGGGAGGGAGAGGAAGGCAGATCTCTTGAGTTTCAGGCCAGCCTGGTCTACAGAGTGAGTTCCAGGAGAGCCAGAGCTACACAGTGGAACCCTGTCTCAAAAAACAAACAGACAAAAACCAAAACAACAAAAAACAGAACAAAACCCCCAAAACAAACAAAAATAATTCATACCTATTAGGATGCTTATAATATTAAAAAATACAGAAAAACAAGTGTTGACAAAGATATAAAGAAGTTAGAATCCTTGTTCAGTACTAGGTAAAATCATTCAGTCACTGGAGAAAACGGTGGTTTCTCAAAACTGAACAGAGAATTACCATATGTAATTCAGTACTGTTCATTGGTGTCACTCCTAAGGATATACCAAAAGCAAATCGATACTCACATACATGCCATGCATTGTCATGGTGTCCACAACCATAAAGTAGAAACAATGCCCCAACCCACCAGTGGGTAAGCAAAGCACAATCCATACCTACAGTGGAATGTTATTCAACAGTAAGGCAGAATGAAGTAGTGATACTCCAATAAAATAGAAAGAAGTGCAGAAGCTACAGCAGGGACCAAACTGGACAACACTA